CCGCCATTGAGCGCGGCCCTCATTCAGCTCCTCATCCAACAGAGGGTTAAACTGCCCAGGCCACGGGCAGCCAGTTTCTGCAGCAGGATGCAGTGACTGACCGTGCCAAAGGCTGTGCCGAAGTCTGGGTGGATCCATCAGCAGCCTTTCCCTCATCTACCAGCCTGCTCACCCAGCCGTAGGAAGCTCCCATCCCACGCAAGCTTCCAGGCCACCCCAAAGCTGTCGGCGTTCTTTCGGGCACCTCTAGCAATCTGCTCACCTGTTGACTTCGGAAACGTTGTTGATCCTGGCGGCTTCCAGCAGAGCATCTTCTGAAAGCAAAGGAGAGAAAAGGAGTTAGGAGGCGCTCAGAGCATCCAACAAGGCAGGTTGGGAAGGGTCGACTGCTCCCAAGCCGCTCGCTGGCTGACTGAGGGCAGCCCCGCTGTCGGCACTGGGCTGACACAGATCTGCCACGGATGGCCAACAAGCGCAGGGCTCAAAGCGTGCGATGGAGCTGGGGGGGAGCATCACAGCACCGCAGCAAGGGAGCAGCTGGGCCAACAGCTGTGGAAACAAAGCTGGCACACACAGCAGCCAGCCGTCAGGGGCTCCCAGCGGCAGCAGGAACGCTGTGCAGGCCGAGCAGGACATCTCCTGGCTGCAAGGGGAAGGACAGCATCCCGGCCCTGTGGCCCCCAGGAGGGACGGCCCTCCCTAGAGCTGCCTTGCCGCGTGTTGCCTGCAAGGTTCCAAGCGCTGCTGCAAACCTCAGCGTCTCTTTTGCTCTGCTGCTCCAGGACGAAGCGGCAGCTCTTCTGGGTGTCGCATGCAGCTCGTCCTGCGCGTCCCTCCACGTCTTCCTGCAGCATCGCCACGGCTCAGAGCTGGGCAGCTCAGCATTGGGAGCAGCGCTCCAGGTTTGGCTTCCCCGGGGCACAGCAGAGGGGAGGAGAGCAGAAGCACTCTCACCCTGCTGCCCGCGCTCTGTGCCGTGCCCCCCAGGGGACCATTGGCCTCTTTGGCCACCAGGGCAACACTGCTGCCTCGTGGGCAACCACTGCTCAACTTCTGCTGGTCACCCATTGGTCAACCAGTGCTTTTTGGCCTCCAGCACCACAGCTGCTCATGGGCAACCACTGGTCAACTTCTGATCAACTGCTGGTCAAACACTGGTCACCCATTGGCCAACCATTGCTTTTTGGCCACCACGGCAACACTACTGCTCATGGGCAACCACTGGTCAACTCCTGATGAACTGCTGGTCACCCACTGGCCAACCATCGCTCTTTTTGGCCACCAGGTCACACTGCTGCTCATGGGCACCCACTGGTCAACT